CCAAATCCCTCATATCTATCTGCTTTCATAGGCTATGACTATAAAACTATTCTCTATTCCATGTAGAAGCACTTCAAACATTTGAAGACTGTTATATTTCACAGCCTTTTCTACAGGTCAAACACCTCTGGTTCCTTCAACCACTGATACACGTTTTCAGGTTCCTCCACCCCGTTCACTCTCCTTTAGACATCCTGCCCTGTGTGCCAACATGCACCCTATAGGACAGCACCTAAACCCTAAAACAAAATTTTCCTTGTCGTAACATCGCAATACTGGCTCCTAAGAAATTCACAGGCAAATGCAAGTCCCTGTCTTTTTTACATATGGTATTAATAATCGGTGTCATCCTATCAACCACGCATACTAACCATGCTATCTACTGGCCTACACTTCTCTGTAATTTAAAAAAATTATGCTAAACTTTGTAAAATGTTTTGCTGAAATTCACATATTGGTTTCAAGAGCATTTCTTTGATCTGCTTGCCTAGAAACATTATCAAACAGGAAGGATAAAGCTAATCTGGCATGAGCTGTTCTTAGGAAAAACAAGATCGCTCCTAAAGATCGTCACTTCCTGTGCACAAACCATGTTAGAATAAAATCTAGAAAATTAACTTGAATTCATATTAAACTTGCTAAACTAACATGAGGAACCCAAGCTTAACTAGCTCAGTTCTTTATATAGCTAAATGCTTAAGAGATGATAATCATTAAAGTAGAATGCATTTTTTATTAACTTCGCGCCGTAAGTTTCCAATTCTAATCTATTGTACACAGCACCTCCACTTGGATTTTCTTAAAACACCCATTTGAACCCTTTAGCCAAGAAACCCGCAGCACTTCCTTAGTAACTGAGGCTGAGACCTTAGTTTTCTAATCTAACTTTCTACTACCCCTCCCCAATGAATCCTTTCCTTGACTATTTCAATCAGAGTTTTTGCCCCTTGGACAATTACGCTGATGCTGCCTCTGAGGCCTGAGTATTCTCCCCACTCTCACTGCCTCATCAAAGTCCTATCTCTCCTTCAACGCCAGCTTCCTCACAGAAGGCTTCTTTGGTTGTAATTAGGAGGTGATTTTTACCTTTGTGCTCCGTCTACACCACACGTTTGGAAATTAGTATATGCCATCTTGAACTGTCTGCTCACTTATTTCCTTGTTTGTTTTACCTCCCTGAATAGAGCCCATATCAGTCTCCGGATTTCCCCTTTGCACCAAAGTTGGTAAAGACCCTAATGCAGGCCCTTGATGTTGGTTGCTGATTTGTAACCGTGACGAGTAAGACTCTGATCTTAGAATGGCCATTCTCTTTGTGTTCAGTGAGGTAATAAAGGGCAGGAACACTTCCAGTCCCCCTGAATCTTCATTTTGACTACCAGTCACACAGGGGGAGGGGTGTCTGGGGGGCCAGGGAAAAGCTTGGGGCTTGTACTAACATATTTAGTCAGGATGCTTTCTCACCCATGCTCCCACCTCCCAGAGAGCCCAGGAACCCAGCACACATAGACCATTTTTCTTAACTGCTGGGTAGCTGGGAACAGCGGCTGTGGTTGCTGAGCAGTTGCCCAGGGCAGCTTGGCCACCCTGGAGAACCAAGAAAGCGGGGGAAATAAGAGAGTTTTCCTAGGCATGCAAGCAATCCCTTGAATGTTAAGAGAAAACTAGGCTTGTTATGTTCACTGTACATTTCTTCAATTAGAAATGTTACAACAAGTTTGTGTGATGTTAATGAAAAGCATACTTACACACATATTCATAAAGTGAACATGCGCCAAAGGCATTTTAAAGGGTGCTTTTTGACATCATAATTTGGGTTTGTAACATAAACAAATAGTGTTTAATCAACTGGGTAATCTTCAGGGACTTTAAAAGTATGCTGACTGATAATGATGTATGACCTTTCCCAAGGAAAAAATGGATTTTTAATAGGCATAAACATTTTAATTCCTACTTGGATTCCAATTCTAAGCCAATCTGATTCTTTAAGGGGCATAAAAAGATGTCAAAATTTTGGCTTATAATAACATGCTATATAGGCAGATACATTTATGGATTTGCTAAGTGTCCTAGAGCAGAGTTACTTCAACTTGGAGTTCATAGGGTTCACAGATGCCTTAGATCCATAGAATGGTTTGAGGGTCTTTGAATACCCTGAAATTGTATGCAAAATCGGCAAATGTGTTTATGGGAAAAGGGTTTATAGTTTTCATCAAATTCTCAAAGGGGCTTATCCATTTATCCATTTTTAGGTTATACATTTCACCCAACTTGATCTACAGCTCATTCACAATTATACATATAGACATTAGCCTAACCTCTGTGCTGCCTTCTCTATGGTTACTAGATTGAATTATATGAAACGGTTAGTAAAAAAGGTCAAATATTAGTAAATTCATTCAACAGATGGTATTACATTTCTGGTTTTTAGGCACAGCTGTTTACAGAGAGTATTTTTTATACTGGAACTGTGCAAAGACTTAAAGTTGGCAAGAAGGCTTTACAGTCCCCATAGGTGGGGATCTCGGCAATAGAAACTGGATCAGAAGAGATGTGGTCTTTACAGGATAGGGCTGGTCTACACACAAAGGATAAATGGAGCCATGCTTCTTAAAATCATTTTTAGAGATGGATCAATGACTAGAATGTAAAATTATCAATAAATATCAGGAATTATTATTACATGAATAATTATCCTCTCATCTCCGAGGCACAAAGAAATAAGTAAACTTTCTCAGTGTTCTTCAATTACCAAAACCAGTGGTTCACCATGGAAATGAGAACTTGTAACTATCCCTCTTTCACTGAGGGCTAGGAAAACTAAATAAGGCAAGGGAAGGGTGAAAAAAATCATTGTATTAAGTAGATTGTTAGGGCCAGGCACGTAGTAGGTTGTCAATAAATATTTGTTTGAATGTTGACTGTATTAAGATTCTTTGACTAAAGGCCATGCATTCCTACATAATCTTTTCCAAACAACTATTTGTGTAAATACTCGACACGAGAAAAAAAAACCCACAGATGACTCAGACAGGTATTTTGACACTTACCTCAGCAGAGCTGTGATACTGAATGAAGGTTGCCGAAATTGCATGGCTGAAAGGGTCTCCTGCCTTGGTTACCATGTCCTGCCTCACAAGAAGAGCCAGATCCACTAACTAGGGGATGAAAGCAATGGAAATAAAGTCACATAGCTGGAAATAATCATCCATGTCACTGAAGTAGCAAAGCTAAAAGCAATATATTCCAATGTTATTGATAATACTGTCTGCCTAAAAACCTGTATTATAGACATGAGCATACACTTTCATTGGCTGGCAATCAGACCTACCCATGAATAGAAATGATATATCTCACCTTCCAGTGGAGTGGCTCTCAAACTTTTTATCATAATCACTAAAGAATCATTTAAAAATATGTACAGATTGCCGGGCCCCAAGCCCTGATATTCTGATTCAGTAGGTCTGCTCTGGGGCGTGACCTAGGAACTTACATTTGAAACAAGAGCAAGGAGATGCTGATGCTTGTGGTCTACAGACTGAGATTGGAGAAGCTGTTAGAGGGCAGATTCTAGACTCAGATTTCTGCACCCATTCAAGTTGACTGAACATATCTAGAAAAGTACCTTTTGAAGATAAAAAAAATCTCTAATCAAGGCAGACGTGTACTTAGAACTCAATGTTGAGAAATGTAGGGTTTCATTTCTGGTTAGAATAAAGTTGCAAGAAACAGTCACTTTTACTCTGACAGCCACTAGAACTGGGGATGCAAAGAAACACAGTTGAGCTAAAACTCAGAAAATGGTGAGACTGTCAAGGGAGAAAACTCATGGCCGTTCTCATTCCTGGTAGAGCAGCCTGTGGAATAAGAACTGATCGCCAACAGGGGGAAGGAGGAGGCAGCCATGGGCTGATATGGCAGATTAGAATTCTTACCTGTGCCACAGTTTCATACGCTAAATATGCTAAAATTTCCATAGCGACAGCATTGGGTTTTATCTCCATACTGCTGCAGTCCAACCAGTCTCGAAATTTGGAGGCTTTTTTGGCTAGCCAGTAAAAACAAACAAACAAAAAAACAGGTATAGAAGATTTAATTTTTGAAGTGTTTTCATTACTGTCACAAAAAAGAAAAATATGTCTCTTGAAAATTGCATATGAAATACAGATAATGCATACAAAATGCAATGTTTTTGGAGTTTTATTAGTCTAGATATTCTAGCCCCAAGAAATCTCCTATGCATTTGAGTCATTTATTTTGTATCCATGCTACATAACACAGTATACTAAGCCACTTAACATTCAGCACTTTTCCCACTGTGTCTGAATAAGTTTTAAGTTATCATTGACCATAGCTTATAACAATAATCAGAAGAGCTACTTGCTTGCCATAACTTTGATTTATCCTTGTGGGGGGAAAAACCCTGCAAGAAAAAAACCTGTGATGAAAAAGGAATGTACAGAAATTGTATTTATAATACCTTTCAAAATGTGTCTCTTAGAATTAAATGGAATAAACCGATATCTGGCCTGATCCAATACTGTGGTTATATTTTCTTTGTTACAAAGATGTCCAAATTCTTAAGCCTGACTCTCAAAACCATCTAGATTAATTCCAACCTGCCTTTGCTTTATTCCCTATTGAAATGTCACCTGGCCTTGAGTATAATCCTCTCTGTGTTCACCCTGATCCCTCCCCTCCATGGACTGTCCTCCCATCACTCTTCATTCGTACAAATCCTGCCCACACAGGCCAAAGATATAGTTCCCCACTCTAGTCATTTACTGAACACTTATCACATACCCTTTCATGTCTGCTTATAATTTCTCAAACCATGGTCTAAATTCTCTGTGTGTATCTAGCAATACAAGTACCCAGGGAACCTTCCATGACATATCTCTAAAGTGTCACAGTGCTAAGCAGAGTCTAACTACATACAGGGCCTTCATTAGATATTACTAATGTAACTAGTAACCTCGAGGGAAAATCATCTTTAAAAAAACCCCACTGATTATTCTTCTGATTAATCTGGTCCCATAGGTCTATAAAACACTTAACAGTAACTCAAAGCATGATGTTTTGATCCTCACAGATACAGTCTTCATGGATTCCACATACAGCAGAGTTTTCTTCTAAATAAATCACAGAAGACCTTAAGTCCTGCTATCGAAGCGCATATCCAAAGTTGTCAACTGTGGCAGAATTATGATAATCCCCCTTAAAGCTATCTCCCTGAAGTAACCAATCTTCCAAATACTCTCTGACATGCAGCATTCCATCTCACTAGTAAGCTGCACGAGCTCACAAACACTTGTTTAACATCTGTGGAATACTTCTGAAGTTAACCTTAACAGGCAGCAATTTGGCAAGATCAATAAAATGTGCCTTACTCATTTCTCCCTTTGACAGGCTGTTCGGAGCACAGAGACAGATATTTTGTGACTATGCTCTAAACAATTTATTTTAAAGTGAGAGAAAGAAGAGTTCTTCGTACTCCATCAGATGTGTTCACCTAAGCAACAGCATTAGTAACTTTCTCTCTAGATTTTAAGCACTGAGAATGCAGGGACAAGAACCAAGTGCCCACTACTGCATCCCCAGCACCCAGAACAGTACGTGGTATCAGCAGAGGCACAATCATTTTTTCTAGGAGAAATGAAGAATAAAAAAACAAATGACAGATATTTCTTTAATAAAAGGGTAGACTGCAAACCTTTTTATACATAAAAAAGATGCACAGAGGCCCCACGAACTGACTTGGGTTACTGCTATTCCAGCAACAGGTGAAGATTCTCTGAGTTAATTCCCTTCCTGGCACCTGGTGCAGGCCTGCTCAGAAATGGACCCTTTCAGGGCATTGCTGGTTCCAAAAAAGGAGGCACAGACAATCCTAGTCATGATAATTTGTTTCCATCAAGAAGTGAGGAGCATGAGAATGAATGAGTTCCTTTCCGACATCCCTCTTCTCAACGTATCAGGAGAGAAGGTGATCCTGGACACTGATCAACAGTTTAAATAGAATCCTGCACAAAGGCCTGAAGTTCTTAGGACTACCAGCTTTCTCACACTACCTGGGTTTTCAGCCCATGCTAGACAACTTTTCATAATAATTTCACATAAAAATTTGAAGTTAGTTAATTCTCATACATTTTTTTATCTTTCTCATCAATGATCACTAACAAAATTCAAGGTCTCCCAATTTTCTGTTCTCTCTCCCTGCATACTATCCTATTACTTCTAGCTCACCCCTCCTCACCAGTCTTTCCATTCCTGACCTTCCCTCAGAGCCTCTATAATGCTTGGTCCACTCTGAGGAAATTCTTCTGCTACTTCAATCTCTTCAAAATCACTGTTGAGTTATTTGAGAACAGTCTTCCTTAAAGGGCATGGTTTTCCCTGGGATCTTTTATAGGAGAGGTTCTTTCTTTCCTTCCTTCTGTACAGATTGATCAAATACTGACTGCCAGCCTATTCATCTCCCATATACCAAAGGGCCTGGAGGCAATATACCTTCATTCTTTTAGTTTCTCCCCAAGGGAAATACAGAACTGGCAGAGAGAAGCATTCTTACCAACAACAGAGGCTAAAAGACAATGGAATCATGTTTTAGCAAATAACTACTAGTCTATAATTTTCTACCCAACTAAACTATCATTTAAATATGAGGGCAAAATAAAGCCATTTAAGACAAAAAGGAGTGCTTCAACTACTTACAGAGCCTTGGACAAAACAAAATTAAGCTGAGAAGGCAAGTTTACATACTTATCAACTTAAAAAAATTAACTCAGGGATGTATATTAAAAAATTAAGAGTAACAACTAAAAAAATAGAAATAGAGTATATAATATACAAACTGGTTAAGGAAAACAGAATGAAGAAAACTCAATCAATCCAATAGAACAAAGGAAAGGAAGAAAAGTAAATAAAAAAGCACAGTAAACTTAAAAGGCAAAATAAGACAGTGTATATAAACCCAGATGTATAATTACATATAAATTAAATTCATCAATTAAAATACAAAGAGACTGTCAGATTGACTGAAAAGAAAACCTAGATATCTGTTTACAAAATCCACATATTAAACAAAAGGTTTAAAGGAAAGGATTGGAAAAAGATTTACCAAATTATAGCTAAATTAAAGCTTTGTAATTAAAATTAATATCAAACTTTAAAAGACTTTGAGGAAAATAACTATTGACTTATATAAATATAAAAGACTGGTGAATCTGAAGAGTGTCCCAATTCTACAACTTACTCTCAGCCTATACAGTTATAGACGTGTTATTTTAAAATGCACCAGTAGCACTGGCTGGGCGGCTCAGCTGGTTGGAGTGACGTCCTGTACCCCAAAAGGTGGGCGGGCTCCATTCCGGGTCAGGGCACATACCCAGGCTGTGGGCAGCAGGCAACCGATTGATGTTTCTCTCTCACACTGATTTTTTTTTTCTCTCTCTCTCCCCCTCCCTCCCCTCCTCTAAGATCAACTAAAAAATATATTTTAAAAGAGAGAGGAAAAAAGATAAAATGTACCACTACTTAAGAAGACACATCTATCACAGTTCCTGTATCCTGGGAGTTTATCAGAAGGGGAGAAATGAAGAGAGCCTAACAGCCTGATCAGTGTGGGCGCCAGTTCTGAATCTGCTGACCCACCTGGATTCAGCACTCCCAGCCAGAGCACTCTGGCATATAAACCAGATTCTCCCACTAAGGTTTCATAATGAAGCACCCATGGGTACCACATAAAGAAATATTTTTAAAGGCCCTAACTTCTCTTCTTTAAATAAAAAAATTAAGCATAATATACTGTTTATACTATAATTATTTTATAATGAAAGGAAAAATATTAATTTTTAATCTGCTACAGTTTATTATTGAGTTACAAAAAAATGGAGTTATTAAAACTCTATCAAACAAAAGATGTATTAGAACACTTCAATGACTGTATGTTTTAATGTGAAATAGCACTTCTGTTCCTTTAAATGAATTAAATTTAAAATATAATTTTAAAAAATAGTTCAATAGCACTAAGTGTAACTTTATAAAACTGGAGATTTATACTTATAAAAGACCTGAATGCCATTTTTAAACCTAAAAATTACAATACAAAAACCTTTCATTTGCTGAAATTGCCATGATCTGAAGTGTCATTTACTTAATGCTTCACAGATGTATGATGCCAAATTGTTAGTCAGACTGCAAAGTATATTTAGTTAGGGAAAAAATCTTCCAAAACATGTTTTCCTATATTTTACTGACATTTACATGCGGTGCTATTTGAAATGTGTCATTTATTTGCACTTTATGATCTATAAATGAAGCTCTCATTTTCTTTTTCCAAATCAAATACGTTGTTATTGTGACCACATAATAGCTTTTCATTTAAAGACATCATTGTGTGGATAATCCCTCAGCCCAGGGTCATGTGCTACTTTGTCAGATGTTTTAACTGGACTTTTCATCACACTTACTCTTTGACCTTTACCCCGAGAGTCTTAGTCATCGCTGGACTGTTGCTGGGAGGATGTTTTGCTACACAACTGAGCCCACTATTTATCATGAGCTGTAATGTAGTGTTAGTAAGCTGTGTGCAGTGCTGGGACGGTACTGATTTTACCACGAGGTCATTAGTGTTACAAGAGCACAATTAATGAATGTGGCTAACAGTTATAGACAAAGATGGAAGAGACTGCTGGTCTGTTCCTCTGTGGCAATATGAGTATGCGTAAATAAATGGGAAATTTGGTATCTATTAATACATACATATGAGGGGCTCTTAAATGTCATGACTGCACCAAGAGAGCCATTATGGGTCAAGTACAATCGGCAATACTAGTGTAAATATGACTAAGAAACTGGAAAAGAAATTAAAATGGGAATATTAAGACAAACAGAATTTTTCTAAAAGTTATGTGAATAATTAACATGGCTCTCTGTGTATTAATCAGACCCTTTAAAACCTCTGACTACTATTAATTGTAGAACAGTAGAGGGGGGTAAAATCTTTTATAGGCTCCCCAACAATGCAGAGGCTGTTTCTGTAGCAGTTATAACGATGCATATATTAAATTCACCATTTTCTAAGGAACAGATTGTGCCATACTTTACCATATCTGTAACACATACTCTCTTAAACATACAATGAAGCAAAGTTAAATGCTTACTTACAGAAACTCAGTTGCCGACTTTCACAGAATTCTGCATATTGGGCTGAATCCATAATTCGAGTTTGTCTTTCTGCTCTCTAATAGATAAAAATAAAAAGGCACAAGAATACTTTTAAAGCAAGTAGACTATGGTATATATTTTCACAGCTAAAACTTAGCACTGGAGTTCCATGTTCCCTCCCTTACTCTCAGTGAACAGACTAGTGCTACCAAAAAGACCACGACACATAAAATTATAACAGTAGTTTTGAAGCTTGTTTCTTTTGGAAATAAAGTTTAAAATACCATTTTCCACTCCTCTGTTATTGTCATTATAAAAGAAGAAAAAACTAAAGGACCTCACTTCTCAGATTGTGCACTTCCAAATTTTCTTAACCGTAACATCCTTTAGTTAAAAGAAAAAGAAAACACTGAGACAATAACTAATCAAACAGGAAACTTGTTATTGATCCCTGTCCATCTGCCCTAAAGCTGGGACTCTGAAATATTAAATAGGAGTCAACAAACGGGGTCCATATATCGCCCTTCAGTTGGAACAGGGAGCCAGAGCTAACAAATCCGTATTTCAAAGGGCAAAGAAAATAAAACGGTAAACACGACGCAAATGCTTCCGTCCGCGTCCAGGTCCGGCTCACAGCTGGGCAGAGCCTCGCTCGAGGGTTTCTGACCCAGGACAGCAGGTGTCTGCCGCTCGCTGTCCCGCACGAGCCAGCGCGGGTACAATTGTCACCCAGCCACCGCGGGTGGGAAAGGAAGCGGCCGCTTCCGCTTCCGGGGCCGGAGGGCTCCGAGAGGAGACGGCTGGAACTGCTTGGAATGAGTTTCTGCCCAGCAGAGGAAAAAATTCCCTGAGATTTTAATTTTTTTTCTGCTTTGGAAGGACTTTCAGCAAGTGTTCTTTATCACAGTTGTTGGAGTACATAAGTACCACTTACAACGTCTGTGGATATTTTTATATTTTTTTAAACTAAAATTGTTCTGTTTTTTCATTTTGCTTGATTTGGGGGAGTGATCAACTTAATTCCAATGATATACCAGCTGAAGGAGTGAGTAATGGTGCACTACTTTCAGCTCAGTACAGAAAAGAGACAGATGGGGTGTTGGGAGGTAAGTTAAAATGTACTAACTGCTGTGGCTCCTTCTAAGACCAGCGAGTACTTTTCCCCTTTCCCTTCCTCCCCTCCCTCTTTTCTTTCCTTCCTAATCCCCCCCCCCC